AACTCACTTTGTTTTTAAGTCGATATATTTAAGGGTTTGCGTTTTAACACGTTTAAAAATATGGATGCTAACTTTCGAGAAGATTTACTTGTATTTGTTATCTCAGGATACTGATATTTTTCTCAGTATAAATAATTTCGTATAAACATTAAAAAATCACCACTTTTCATTACGGTAAAGTGACTTATGCCACTTTCAAAATAAACGGCTCAATTATTGATCAGAAGTGTCAAACATCGGGACAAAATTACGTTTGTCGCGATCATGAATTGCTTGTAACTCATAACAACGTCAACCGATATCGATGAAATTTTCCGCTCGTATTTAAGTTACCGAAATCTAGAAAACGCATTTCTTACATTTTTTGTTATAGGCTCAGATAAGTAATGTTTTAAAACCTGCGTTTCATATTTTTTTGTTTTCTTTCAAGTAAACTAGTCCTTGTATCTTCTAAAACAAATTCGATATACAGGATGTCCCGAAAGCCACTCGTAATCGGGAAATAAGGGTTTCTCAAGGTCATTTGAAGTTACTTTTAACTTAGCGCAAGCGCAATCCGTGGCTTTGTTTACGAGTTATTAATAGAAAACACTGACCAATGAGGGGGACAGCTCAATGACTCATCGGCTTCGCGCCAACCGAGCTCGCCTTTCATTGGTCACGGTTTTTCGTTAATAACACGTAAACAAAGCTGCAGATTGCATTTGAACTAAGGAAAAAGTTACTTCCAATGACGCCAGGAACACCTCATTTCCCGATTGCAAGTGACTTTTGGAACACTCTATATACCAATATTAATCATCTATATTATGAATAATACTTATATATTTGTTCCTCACTGTACTTTTATCTTACACAATAAAAGAATACATTTGATCATTCTATCAGTCCTGTCCGATTCACCTAATCACGTGTTCTATCCATAGCCTAACTTAGCCAATAATGACCCAGGATCTGAAAAGTGGAAGAGATCAGGTGGAGCGACCGGCTAATTCACCTTGCGACGTTTAGCTTTTGGGTAAAGTGCCTTCTTTTAGTTTTCCAATAGTACTGATCCGATAAAATGACCGTTTTTCATTTTTATGGTTCAAAACAAACGAATGTGCTGAAAACTGAATGGACAATATTTATTTTCATAACATCGATGAAAATGTGTGTTCGAGGTGCAGGACCGAATGGAAGAGAAGGCGATGGTCGTAAACAGTATTTCTTTATTTATTTATTTAAGCTGCTGTGTCTGCATCATTTATACAACGTATTAATCATCGTTAAAACAACGTTTCGTAATGTTATAGCATCCGTTACTATCCTCGTTCCTCTTTAGTACACGTGAGCTAAAAAAAACAAAAATATAATCAATATAATAGCTCTATCGAATGGATGAGTATGTAGTAATTAATAATTAGGCATCATCGTACTTTGCACATTATTCTATACTTGTCGCTGCGACAAAGAGTCCTTCGTGACAAAGTACCGCATGCTCCTTCCACCTTTAAGGTAAATATACGTTTATTAAGACTAAGAAAAGAGGAATGTGGGAGAGATATGTACTATGAAAGGGACATTTTAAATATCCTAACTATGGGAGGACTTCTCAGGCCGGTTGATTTTTGTTTAATAGCAATATTTTGGTGTATTCGTTAGCATTGATACACGATTGAATCTTTTCGACTGTGAAAGTAAAAGCGTTTCTGAAATTAATGTTACCGTAACTCATCTTTTCTTGGCTGTTTTTCGCTTTGTTCGCTATTTTTGCTTTAATATTAATCTAATTATTGGTTACGTTCCCAATTTACTTGGTAACAATCTGAACGAGACACAACAAATGGTTATGTATGAGATATCTCTTTCATAACTGCCCTTTGAAAATTTCACTATTTTTGAATACACAAAAGAATACACATACAAGTTACAAGTTTCGAATTTCGAATTTCTTTCTAATCATTGTTTTTCCAGTTTAAAAATGCAATGCAAACACGAGATGGTGTTAATAGAAATGAAATGTAAGATATGGTAAATGAAGTACATAATACAGAAAGAAAGTTCAGTAAGATCAACTGCGAAATCTTCTAATACATTTTGACTATTTAGTTACATAATAATTAAAGAAATAATGCTATCCGCAATATTATTCTCTTTCATAGCATGTCACATGATCTCATTTTCGAGATATTGTTACTTAAAGTTCTGATCACTAATTCATCGTATTAGTTGTGTTTCAAGTCCCATTATTATTTTTCAGTATATCGAATTTGCTTTTATGATCTATCTTTTGATAAATAGGTAAATCATACATTTCGCAACTCAATTAACATATTAATATATTAATATTGCATAAACTAAAATATTTTAATTTGCGACATGCGACGTTTTTTCTTACAGCCACAAGAATATCTCTTCCTCGATTACCTTCTGCTCTTGATACTATAAAGTTCTGCGAGAAACAAAATACATCTTTTAACCCTTTCGATCCTAAGCGGGACACATGCTCTCAGCGATCTTTTTCTATTGTTAGAAGAACAATACGTAACTCACATATATGATAAACGTATGGATAATCGTATCAATTACTATGCCCATTAAAGTGACATCCGACATTTTTTACGAATTAAACGGGCTTTTTTTACTTATATCGCACTTCTTAAAGCATTTCAATTACATGTCGATGTCTTTTATATAACTATGAATTTCTTCATATTTGAAATATATAAAAAACACAAATTTCTGAGCGAGTTACTGTACCTTTTTAAGAAGATGCAAAGTTAATTTCTGTGTGTTAGTTATTGCGCCTTTTCTAGTTACTATGTATCAATATCTATACATCATAAAATTACTATCTGTCAATTTCTGTATACTGATTTAGTTACTGTGTTTCAATTTCTCTACACCGATATAATTACTGTGTGTCGATTTCTGTGTCCTGATCTAATTACTGTGTGGCAATTTCTGTACAAAAATCCTAATTACTATGCTTTACTTCCTCTAATCAGTTCTAAGGAAATAATCCCAAACAAAAATGTAAAAACATGAAATATTCGGTATTAAATTATTTAGCCTAAATTATTGTATATGCTTCAGTACTTACGATATTATTCAGAAAATGACAGAAAATCACGCGTAGATACTTATAGTCCTCACACGACAAAAAGGCACTATTGTGTTTACATTCTCCCTCTTAGTAGCTGCCCCATTGTCGCAGCTGCCGGTTGCTATTGGCCGACGGCAATCTTCGTCATCGTTTTCGACATTGGGGCAGTTAAAAAGTGGGGGAATGTAAACATAAAGGTGTTTTCTTGTTGCGTGAGGACTATACACATATTCAACTGATCGGGAAAGTAAGGTTAGATGTAACACGTGGATTGCAATGAAAGAGCTCAGTAACCAATGCACGCATAAAAAAACACATGAAAACTTAATTCAGTTACAGTGCACAGTAAAATATACGTTCTGTTCAGTTACTAAATTAGTTGAGGTAAAAAGATACATGTACAAAGTCGTGTATATTATTTTTTTTCTGTAATTTAGACGAGAGTTTTTTTAACACAGTAATTTATTCCTTTTGTTTTGGAAAGCATTGTTTTTGTATTTCTTAAGTTTTTGAAGAAGATCAAGGGAGAAACCGCTATCAGAAATTTAAAAAATTGGTTTCCCCGCATTTTATAGGCCTTAAGAAATTAAAGTTTTGATTCGGTTATGAAAATTACAGGTAAAATTTTATTGAAAAAATTTAATATATTCGTAATTTAATCATATTTATTTTAAATATAGGTAAAATTAATGTGAGGACACAGTAACCAAGGGATAATATAGTAATAGGCATCCTGTACTTGACAGACTTACCTTACTATTATTTTTGATCGGTAATAATGACAATTAGTAGTATAGAGACATGCTGGATAGCATTTATTTAGAAGTACAGACGTTACAGACAATTAACTTAAATATCAATAGGAAAAGCTCGGGTAGAATGAGTTGAAAAATCGAATATAAATGACATGTAAATATGGAAGCAAGTTAATGATACCACGTACACTTATAGTCAAATGATTGACCTTTCCAAGGGTGACAAGAGAAAATAGAACGGTCTTTCAGTTTTTTTTTTACATCTTTCAGTTTTTTGTATGTTCGAAACGAAAGTGTTCCCATTCATGCTACCCTTTCACTACCCTTATTTAACAATGTGTCGAAATACAGCACAGAAAACTAGACAAACATCTACTTACCCCAACTATTGGTGTCATGGGTGATCCAAACAGCAAGATAAGTGAAACGAATAGGAAAAGTAAGCCCAACTTTTGGTTCATGATTGCGTATTCTATACTTCAAAGGTTTTCGCTAGTCAGTGACTGTTACTGTTCCGGTTTCTTTTTATATAGAGCACACACGTATATGAGAAATATAAATTTTGCGAACACGATAAATGGTTAAGAATATGCACTTTTCGTGTAGAACGTGACCGAGCGTAATAATCGGAGGCAATAACTACGTTTATTTTTTTTTTTTTAAGTGTAACGAAACAAACATTTCAACGAGAAGGTCNACAAACATCTACTTACCCCAACTATTGGTGTCATGGGTGATCCAAACAGCAAGATAAGTGAAACGAATAGGAAAAGTAAGCCCAACTTTTGGTTCATGATTGCGTATTCTATACTTCAAAGGTTTTCGCTAGTCAGTGACTGTTACTGTTCCGGTTTCTTTTTATATAGAGCACACACGTATATGAGAAATATAAATTTTGCGAACACGATAAATGGTTAAGAATATGCACTTTTCGTGTAGAACGTGACCGAGCGTAATAATCGGAGGCAATAACTACGTTTATTTTTTTTTTTTTTAGTGTAACGGAAACAAACATTTCAACGAGAAGGTCGGGAATAAATAATTTGCTCAGTATGATGTACAGAAACATAGTATTTATTATTAGTGAACTGTGGAAATTATGTCAATAAAATATATCAAAACATGTAAGTGACATATATCAACTATGTATTAATAATATGTCAATACATACGAGAATATGCAAAATATACTCGAAATATGTAGATATAACTTTATTACTTAAACATAATAATAATCAATTATTATTTAAATTACAATGTGTTACGAGTATTTTTTCAATACTATTAAGCGTTAGTTCATGATGTTTATTAAAAAAATAAATTTATAGACTGAGAAGGAACGCTCAAGTAGCATGCTTTAATTCTTTTAAGTTCTTCAACAATCTGTTTTCGCAAAGCTTCACTAATCTTGAATATTGTTTCGAAATCGGGACCTCTTGTTGAAACTGCATTCCAATTTGTTATAATTTTTTCTCTGTAAATTTCAGGAGTGCTACTAAAATTTCGATCTACACATTCGTCACTAATTCCATTGATTCAGTTAAAAGCATACCAATAGTTTATAATTCTTTCATATGATCCGGGAAAGTTTGAAAGTGGATTTTGATAAATATTAAATTCTGAATAAACGATTCATTTCGAGGAAATGAATTTACAAGTGAAAAATATTAACGCACTCCTTTAAATGTTTTCTAGCTTTTATCATATACGCAGCTGCATCTGTCATCAACAACTAGATCATGTTCGAAAGCCTGTAAGTATTATTTTTATTTATAGAAATAAAATAAACGTATATGACATATTCAATATACAAAATATATAAAATAAAAAATATATTTGCAGAATCACCCGGTCATGACAAATTTCTGCCTAGGTTCCATTGGTCTGCATATTTTCTAAAAATATATTCATTTGCATATTCATCCGCAATCTAAGATATCTGCGTCTCAAAAATAAGTAATTTGAATCCCCACTTAAAGTATTAAAACATGTGTGATGCGATTTTAAATCACGCGTCTATGAGATTTTTTACAGATTATCGTAAGAATGACTGTATTATCGTAAATACAGTCTATTTATCGTGTGCATTGGCGAATTCGTTATACATCCACTGTACCCTGCTTTTCTAATTATTGTACATTGCGTACTGTTTCTGGTCAGTCGATCATTAGAATCTGTTTCTAACACCGATGACAATTTTTCAGTATTTGTTCTTTGGCGATTCGTGGTAAATGAGAACGTGCGATCTTTATTCTGCTTTTAGTATTACTAGAATGAAAACTAAAATGAGTTAAACAACGTTCTAAAACAAGAAATATAAACAGGCAACTTTATTCAATTGTTACAACGGCCGTGGATAGTACTTTTGGCGGTTATGACGCCATGTTTTGGAAAACAGGGAAGAGAGGGGGAAACGTTTCGTCCGGGATCCGCTAGAGGACTAGGAAGGCAGATGTCTTTTACTTTGCTAGCCGCCGCGCTCAGGTAACAGATGAGCAGTGGCGAGCGATGCGACGCCACAGTTCCCGGGATCAAATGTAATTGTTCTTAGAATAGCACATTTATGGTGGCGCATTCTAACTTTTGTGGTCTCCCCATACGCTATCCATTCTCGTTTGATCAGTTTCATCATATCTTTGACGAATATATTTTAAAAAATGTGTTTTCTTGATGATTTCAAACATTTTCCTTAATGAGTTCCCTTCTCTTCTTGTTTAATAGTTAACTCAACGAATTGGAATAGGAATATTCATTTCGAATGAAACATACACGATACGATATTTTCTATTTATTAGCAAGCAAGAAACTAAAATAGAAGTACCTATTATGGAACGCTTTTCAGGGGGCATAATCTATTGCTCGATAGATTGATATTTCTGGACAATCTAGTGAACTTTGGAATATTTATTTGTAATATAAATAAAACATAGTACGACAAAAATAATAAAGTACGAGCATGTACTTTGCTACTACGCTTCCATGCTACTACGGAACACCGTTTACATGCCATGTCCCGGCTTTCCATTTTCAACAAACAACACATTCATACATATTCTCAATTGCAAGCATCGACTTGAACCGTCTATTGATTGTAAGATAATTGAATTGACGCAGAATGGGTTTCAATGAATAATTAATTTTCCCTTTAATTCTTTTATATTGGTTCATAAGATACACATATATAATAATTCAAAGTATGTAACATTAACATTATAAATTTAACCTAAACTGTGAAACTACATTTTCTCTGAAAATTATTTTATTGAAGTATCAATATTACATTATTAATGACAGTTGACACGTCTGGAACTGGAATCAATCTTTTTTCGGACAGTTAGCCTAAAGAAAGAAATGTACAGAAATTTTATTATAATAAAAGTGACAAAAACAAGATAATTATTAAGAGTAATCAATTGTGATCATACCGGACATCTCGCACGGAGTGACGGATTGTTGCAGATTACATGTAATGGAATATTATAGCACGGCGCTGACAGCTAAACAAAAGTCGATACAATGTATCATTATATCGAAACTGATGCATATCTGATGCAATAATATCAAACATATTTGTAACTTACGACTGGTATTACAAAATATCCAGATAAAAGTGTAAGGCAAACAAATAGAAGAAAGAAGTGATGGTTTCGCTCCATGGCTGCAAGTTCTATTGTCTTAAGCTAGTCAGTAGGCAACGAACGTCACAGCTGTTTCCTCCTTTTATATGGAAAACTTCGTGCAGAATATTCCAGTTATAGATTATGCGAACATTAAAAAATGTAATTTCAACTTTACGCGATAAATATTTAACTGTGTGCGGTTTCCGTGTAGGATGTGACGAAGAGTAATAATGTAGTAAACGACTGGATTTATCTATTTACTGTTCAAAGTAAATGTGTGTTTAATATACTGGAACACTAATTGTTTAATATCCAATACATTTTGTCCGATTGTTGGTATTCCATCTGACCACACTGGTGTTCGCACTCAAAGAATCGTTGTACTAACAAATGTATAGAGTTTTCTACTATTGTTATTATTGTTGTTATTATTATGAAAATGCTAATAGAGAGTAATAAGTAAAAATAATCAAACTTGACCTTACCTTGCATTTTTTGCGAAGTAATGAGTTTTTGCAATGCATTTGTGTTTAGCTTTTGTTTAAGCATTTGTGATGACATTTAAAAGATAGACGACGCGTGAATCATTCCAGGTCCAAAACGGAAGATGTGTTTTTACTGGAAGAAGAGTAAGCGTATCAATTACTGTACTCATTAAAGTGACGTCCAGAGTTTTCAACGAATTAAATCGGATTTTTTAACCTACGTCTCACTTCTTAAACCATTTTAATTATATCTTGACGTTTTTTATGTAATTACGACTTTTTTCATAAATGAAATATATAAACTATTATATATATACATACGTAATTTTTGTGCGTGTTACTGTGCCCTTAAAAAGATGAACAATTTATTACTATATCTCAGATACTGAGCCTTTTCTAGTTACTTTGTGTCAATTTCTATACGTTGATCCAATTATTGTGCCTACCTTAATTACTATGATCAGTTCTAGACAAATAATCCTAAAGCAAAAATGTAAATACATGAATTATTCCGTATTATATTATTTACCAATTATTATATATATTATATATATATAATAATAATATATAATATATAATATATAATAATAATATATAATATATAATATATAATATATAATATATAATATATAATATATAATAT